GTCCACATATATCAGTGTGTATAATTTCAAGAAGCTGTGTGCTTCTTGTGGTTGCATTTGTGTGTTTTGAATATTTTCCTTTAATACAATCCACACAAATAGCGAGATCAGTAAAAGCTAATTCAGGAAAGATTTCATTCTTTACAAGTCTTTGAATCCTTTCCGTAGATATGTGACTCAAACGTTTATGCCACAAGTAAGCTGATCTTTCATCCACTAAACATCGTTTAGTTCCAATACAATGATGCAAGGTTAAAAGAGTTTCAACAAAAAGATTGTCAAGCTTTAGTTTGTACAAACCATCAGAAACAATACCAGAACCAATGAAATAAATTTGCTTGAATAAACTGAAACAACCATTTCCAAATTTAGTGGAAAAACCATAAGAGTCCAGTTTTGACAAAGAAATTAAATTCCTAGAAACTGAAGAAACATAAAGAGTTTCAAACAAATCCAAATGATTTCCAGTATCTAAAATTAAACGATAAGTTCCAATGGCTTTTACTGGAGCTTTGACTCAATTCCCTATAAACACAAATTTTTCATTTGGCTTTATGGTTTGGGTCATAAGGAATCCATGCATAGTATTCGAAACATGAGTAGTGAAACTAGAATCAATCCACCAAGTATTATAAGGAACTTCAGTTAAATTTGATTCAAAACATACTAATATATAATGTATACCTTTCTTTTCGAACCATGCCTTACGCTTAAAGCAACCTTTCTGAAAATGTCCAGATTTCTTAAAGAAATGACACTTGTCATTCTTATGGTCCTTTTGTGGATTTGAGAAGAGGACTCATTAGTCTTCATTGGTCCTTTTCTTACCTTTACGATTCTTCTTTCCAAACTTCTTACTAGCCCTTGACTGACTCATGAGATTAATTGAGTGAATTCCTTGTCTCTTAAGCCTTGCTTCCTCTCAAGTTAGCATTTTATGCAATTCGAACACATTCCACTTATCTTTAATGGAATTTTAATTCACTTGGAATGTCTCATACTCGAGAGGCATAGAGTTTAAAATAAATTGTACAAGGAAAGTATCACTCACGTCCATTTCCATGGACCTTAATTTTGTTGCTAAGCTCAACATAATCATAAACAATCAAATACATTGAAGGTCTCCTTTGGGTGATCCAACAACATATAACTTTAAACATAATACGATGCTAAAAAATTCATATAATTGGTCATTAAGTATATTACGACTAGACTTGTTTGCTATCTTTGGATATGCTAAACAACCCAATCAAATATAAATAATTAACCACTATTATGTTTATAATTGTGAAATAATTGATCAACCTTTGGGTGACTCTTAAATATTTCAAAATTACAAAACTTCAATTTACCCAACAAGTCAAAACATGTCATCTCATTATAAGCATCACATAATCATGGGTAATTGAATTTTATTTAAATTTGATATCTATTAAAACTTTATAATTTGGCCACTTTGGTGACTAACAAATTAATCATAATTAGATACCAAGTTAAGTGGATATAATATAATAAATAATATCATAAAATATCCACATACATAATTATCACTAATATGCAAGCCAAATGATTTGCTTCATTTACATGGGTGGAGATTGAACCCCTGACCTCAAGTTTAAGGGACAAGGTTCTAAACCACCATGCAAATCATGTCGACTACAAAAAAAAAAAAAAAAAAAAAAAAAAAAAAAAAAAAAAAACAGAATTAATCTACATACTTAATTAACACATAATTAATTAACAAATTAATCTGCATGCAGTAAAATAGCGGAAGCAATAATACAAATAATTGTCAACGCATATGCTGTAACAGATACGGTAAACATATTACATACAGCTAGAATCAGATACATTCAACAAATTACATATAGTGCATACAAACAACAAATCCAACCCATACTGTCATAAACATCCGAAATACATAAAGATATAAACATATATATTGATGCAGTACTGTAGCAATCCATAAGAAGTAGTTTAAGGAAGGCTTGTAAGAATTCAGCAGAATTCATCAGAACCATATATATAAATTAACAGTATATACATACTTAAATATATGGATTAACAACTGATTGTGATAAAGCAGCAGCAAAAATAACCTTCATGCTATCAAAAGTACGTACTACATACAATATATATGTATATATGTCATATATAAACAATACATACGCAGTAATACATATATAAACAATTTATACATATATAAACAGTTTATACATACATACGCAGTTTTATATACATATATAAACAGTTTATGAATAGTTTATTCATACAATTTCTTTATATATATATATATATATATATATATATATATATATATATATATATATATATATATATATATTCAACAGTACTAGTGGGTAGAAGCATTTGCAAATATTCAAACAAAAGCATTTGCAAATATTGATGTTCATTTCAATTCGTACTACATCATCAACCAGTTTGAATATATATAAGCAGTTATATATTATATCGTACTGCATATTAAATAATCTTCACTTAATCATACAGTACAGTTACAGCAATAAAAGCCGAAAGAAAACATATGTATGGCTTGCACATGTTATACGCAGAAGCATATTCATAACAATGAAGAATCATAGGTTCATACAAAATGATATACATACCCAGAATTCAACAGTACATACAAACAACCTTATATAGCAATGCTTTTACATCATAATATATGGAAAAAACACATGTTCTACAACCAGGCTCATGATACCAAATGTAAGTTAATTCTATAAAACATAAGGTCTTCAGAACACATGCCTTTCACATACTGTATTTAAATAGCGTTCTGAGAACATACCTGGCTCCATTATTTTCCCGTAGTTGCTTGAGTTAGAAACTTGGTTTCTCCCTCCAGACCTTCAACATTCCTTTCTCTAAGAACTCTGATGGAGAGAGACTTTTGTTTTGTTTTTCTGAAGGTTGGGGAGAGGATCAGAGAATCAGAATGGTTAAAAACATAATCTCACGGTTCCATCAACGTGAGAGTTATCTGATGCAGTTAAAACTGCTATTTACCATTAACTGACCAATCATAGAATTATATCATTATTAAATTATAAATAAATATTTATGAGCCACACAATATAATAATGAGCAATGGAATAATAATAATAATAATAATAATAATAATAATAATAATAATAATAATAATAATAATAAATAAATAATTATTCCAACACCCTGTACTGTCGCATTTTGTTCAATTTAGTCCCTTTAGCTTAATTTTGTTCAATTTAATCATTGTACTTTAAGATTTAGAACAATTAAGGACAATACATAACACCATTAACTTTTTCTGTTAAGTTTGTCCACGTGGCGTTGAATTTTCCATGTCAGATTGTGTGAAATTTGAGGTGGATAGAGCTACACTAGACGAACCAGCAATTTTTCATAGAATGTATATTTGTTTTCACACAATCTGACATGAAAAATTCAATGCCACATGGACAAACTTAACGAAAAAAGTTAACGGTGTTAAATATTACCCTTAATTGTTCTAAATCTTAAAGTACAGGGATTAAATTGAACAAAATTAAAGTATAGGGACTAAATTGAACAAAATGCTGCAATATAGGGACCTAGCATGTACTTTGTCCGAATCTCTCCATTAGTATTGTTTAAACAATAACACCAGTACAGTGCATGTTGGAGAAAATGCTTGTAATCTGTAATACATTTGAGATACAACAATAATACAGAATACAACAGGGAACAAAAACTGGATCATTTGATATCTTCAGGCGTGTAATCACTTTCCTATAAGCTTTAAATCTCCCCCTACAAAAGCAACAAGGTTCAAGATTTAATCTTATGGGATACAAGAAGACGAATGAAATTCTCAAGTTGCACTGTTTGAGAATTTCCTGTAGAATCGTAAGCCTGTGAAATGTCTTGGTTTCCTGCAAGTTGATTGCTTCCATCAATTGCCTATTTTCTTTTTCTCTGTATTCTTCAGATGTTTCTCCAGATATTTATAAAATAAATATAGCAGTTGGGAGAAGTTACATGGAAGTTATAGGAGTTCAAAAACTCTAACTTCCATAAGATATATCTTATCTGATATATCAGGCATGAGAAATATATATAATTTAATATTATATATATTCATATGATACGAACTTTCGTAGGTTCATGCACTGCATACAAAATAGCAACGTTAAATATATATATTATATATATTCATTATTCATTGCATGTTAACATGCAAAATAAATAAACATATAAAATATATATATAACTAGTCATGCATGCAGTACATTCAAAACAAAAGAAAGAAGTGAAAGCCATCTTTCGTTATTGTATAAATTAATACTTGTTATGCATGTGAACTTTCATTATTTTCATTTGGCCGAAAGGAGCCAAATAGCCGAAAGTTCATCATACAGTCGAAACTTCATATAGCCGAAACTTCAACCATACGAAAACATATTTCCCAACTTACTTTCTACCAAACTAAAATAATATTTATAACTCCACAACACCAAATATTATTTAAGCTTTTCATGGTAGTTCATCTGAACCATTAACTCTCATTACTATATAAATCTCTAACAGTGCACATACTTAATTAGAAATTCTCAGTCCAATGGATTGTGTTGGGATTAATTAATTCGTTTTTATTTGAATTGTGATGGATAAAGCTGGCCGGCAACCTGCGCGCATAATCACGTAGCTGTATAATAATATTTGTTTGTGTTTGTTTAATAATATTCACAAAACAAGCTTGTTTTGCTCAAAAACCAACCTTTCCACTTATGAATAACCATTGCTTTAAGTTTTTAGAACTGTAAAAATCTCCCCTAAGTTTGTTCTGACAGCTCTTTTTCCTTGTTTATTTTTCCTCCCTCATCTCCTATTTGATTCCTAAAACTTTGTGAAAAATACCCATTGTATTTCCTGTTCAGTATTTCAGAGTTCAAACTGAAGCTGCCTTTGATTTCAAACTCTGCATCTCTCTCTACATACTAGCTCAGTAGAATTCTTGAATGGCTTTTGTTGTTGTAACTTCTGTACTGGGAATAGTGGATCAACACCTTTCTCATCCCAATCCATCTTTGAACAATATTCTTGATGATGATACACACCTTGTCTTGTTGTTATCCGAGAAGCTCCGCTTTCTTCAACACTTTCTTGAGACACAGACTGTTAATCAAAGTCTGGATGCAGAAATAAGAGATGTAGCTGCTGAAGCAGAAGCTGAAATCGAATCAAAACTCAGAGAGTTTTATTTGGCTTCTACCAACCAAGATGAAGCTTGCCATGGGCTTCACCAGACCTTGCAGAAAGTAGTAAAGAATGTTGAGGCTCTTCATCTCCAGATTGAGAAGGAAAGCAGATCTACCAAAGATCAGTCACAGTCACATGGCAGTTCATCTCCAGAAGCTTTGAAGTTAGAAAACAAACGGCCTGCTGGCGGTTCCACTTCCACCCATCATCATGATTCAGAGCCTGAGAATCAAATGGTGGGATGTGATGATGAGTTTCGGAAAATAAAGAACATGATCATTGGTCAACAGTCTTCTGAGGAACTAGAAGTGATCCCAGTTACAGGTATGGGAGGCATCGGGAAGACTACTCTAGCAAAAAAGGTCTATGATGATCCCGATATTAAGTCAAAGTTTTACATTCGGGCATGGGCAGTTATATCTCAAGAACCTGATATGAAGCGGATACTCATTAGCCTTTTAGCTTGCATTTTACCATCCACCAATGAACTCTACAACAAAGAACTTGCTCAGCTAGCAGACCAGTTGCGCAAACTTTTGTTGGGTCAAAGGTATTTGATTGTCATAGATGACATATGGAGCAAAATGGCCTGGGATGCAATCAAAAAATGTTTTCCAGAAAATTACAGCCGAAGTCGAATCCTGATGACCACACGAGAGAAAGATGTGGCCGAATATGCAAGCTCAAGTAAGTCTATTCATACCAAGTGTTTTCTAAACTCAAAGGAAAGTTGGGATTTATTTGAGACAAAGGTATTTGAAGGGAAACATGTTCACATCCCTGAATTAGAGACTATAGGGGAAAATATTGTTGTGAAATGTCAGGGATTGCCACTGGCCATTGTTGTCATGGCTGGACTTCTTCATGCACTCGACAAGTCAGTAGAAGCATGGGGTGATGTTGTAAAGAATATGAATTCTTTGGATGACTGTTTAGGACTGCTTTCTTTGAGTTACAACTACTTGCCTAGTCACTTGAAGGCTTGTTTCCTCTATTTCGGAGTTTTTCCAGAAGATAGGGACATTCTTGCGACCAAGTTGATCAACTTGTGGGTTGCAGAGGGATTTTTAAAGAAGGAGAAACAGATGACTAAGAGTTTGGAAGAAGTGGCAGAGAGTTACTTGCACAATCTTATCAATCGAAATCTAGTGCAAGTCAGCCAGCAGAGTTTTGATGGCAAAATCAAGTCATGTAAGCTTCATGATATGTTGCATGACATATCTGTGAAAGAAGCTAGAAGGGGGAAACTTCTGAGTGTAAGAAAACAATCCCAATCAGCAGAGAGTTGTCGTTGGATTAGTTGTAAATCAACTAATTGGCCTACTTGTGACGGAACTCATTCTATTCTCTACTTCGGTGAAGATGTGTACCTCTCGAAGCGCAACTTGGTATTCTCATGTATGAAGTTGCTGAGAGTGTTGGACTTATCATTAATAAAATGTTGGCATGGCGCGCCTAGTGAAATTGTGGAGTTAGTTCATCTTAGATACTTGGCTTTGACGACTGTGGGCTCTCTGGACAAATTTCAAATGTTTAAGCTTCGAAATTTGTAGACTCTAATTATTTGTTCATGGAGGGAAGAATGTTGTTTGCAATTGCCACGGGATATTTTGGATTTACCACGGTTAAGGCATGCACACCTTGACAAGAGAGCCACGGTATACCTCCCAAATGTGATTCAGGAAAGCATACAAACTCTGTTTTGGTTGAAAGTTAATGGCCGGGTCCCAAGAACAACCGATTTTGCAATGGTCCCAAACTTGAAGGAACTTGGGGTTTACATTGACAATGATTTGCCACCAGGTGCTTTTGACAGTCTTGTTCATCTGCGTTTGCTTGAGAGATTGAAATTTGAAAGGAGAAATGTGGAGGGCTTTTATCTTCCAACCGCTCTGCCTCAAAACCTTAAGAAGTTCACACTTTGTAATACTTATCTTTCGTGGGAGGACATGGACATTATTGGAAGATTGCCAAATCTCGAGGTGCTAAAACTGAAAGAGTTTGCCTTCTCTGGTCCAAAGTGGGAACCAGCAGATGATGATGGGTTTAAGGGATTAAAGCTCTTACTTATTGCACGCTCAGATCTCAAATGCTGGAATACAACTGATGGTCATTTCGCGGTCTTGGAACGCTTAATCCTAAGATTTTGCTTGGACTTGGAAGAACTTCCAAGTGAATTTGCCAATTTAAATACACTACGACTAATTGAGTTAGAAAATTGTTATCCTATTCTGGTGGAATCTGCAAAGAAGATTCAAGAAGAGAAAGAGAGCTATGGTTACGAGGCACTTGTTATTCGTGATCTTGGAGCTAAGGTTTGACTTCTATTCCCTTCCTTGATATTGATATATTGGTTTTGGACCCTTATTATGGAATTTTTATTGTATATATATGGAAATCATTCATTCTAATATCTTTCACTTTATTTATTTTTGTCAATGGAAATTGGTTTTCTAGATTAAATTGCCAACGAAGGAAAGCTGTGAAGATGCATGAAAGTGAATCCTCTGAAGAAAATGAAAGTGAATGAGGAGTTTGATGATGTTGCGGGCGTTTGAGGAGAACTGGTTAAAGCCGAGGAGGTATGCCCTGCCGAATGAATATCTACTGATGTGAGCCTAAAACCAAACATTGCTTTTGATAAGTGAGTTAAGATTGTTGGATGTATGTGTTTAGTTTTTGGTGTTTAATTGTGTAAGTTGATTTCTGTGGTAAGTAGACTATTCGGTCCTGTCAATTCTGGTGCAGTGGATGTTTATTGTCATGGAAAACTCAAATATTTGTTGCCAAAATTTGAAGTATTTATAATTGCTGCTACTTATTTTTCCTGGCTTACAGCTTAACATATTTTGCTGATTTGTCCTTCTGTTTTAAATATGGTGTTTCAAGATGATGTCTATGAACTCTCTAGATTGGTAGCATGCTACTTCTTGTGTCATACACTATTTTAAACATCAACTCTACCAAAGAATATATATACTGCACTTAATGTTGTTTTAGTCAGTCTAATGCATTGGAATGAACTTGATGTAAATAAATTATAATGTTAGGGTTCACATTTACGGAAGTAAACTCTGTTCGTGCAAGTGTGAGTAAAGTAGTCTGCTGCCACTTCTCATCAGATGGAAAGCTGCTTGTCAGCGGTGGCCATGATAAAAATGTGAACAATTAGAGCTACTCAATTTCCTCACTGCTTCATATTTGATTGTTCTGATCTTCACAAGTTTTGTTTCATTATCTGGTCATGCAGGCTGTTTTGGGTAAAAGTACCTACGAGATCCCTTTATTATAGCATTTTGTTCAATTTAGTTCTTATACTTTTATTTTGTTTAATTTAGTCTCTGCCCGCACTTTCAAAAGTGGTGCAAATTAAGGACAATAATTAAAGGTGTTAATATTACCGTTAACTTAGGTTACGCGGCGCTAACAATATTTAAATTCTTACTCATATATTACTTTATAAATATTTAAAATTAATTATTTTTACCACCAATATATTAAATTAGTATTCCAAAATAAATAATTACAATCATGTTCGTAATGAAATTTAGACAATTGTCCTTAGTTTCGCCACTTTTTAAAGTATAGTCACTAAATTGAACAGCATAAGGTATAAGGACTAAATTGAATAAAATACTATAGTACAAGTACTTCATAAGGTACTTTGACCGCTGTTTTGTGGCATACATATACCTTAAAGCCAAAAACTACACTTATCACTTACTGTGAAACCTTTAATTTGCATCCATATAAGAATGTGATTCTGTGATAACTAACTAGCCAAAGGGCGTTTCTTGCAGTCTCTAGAGCTTTGGAACATGACCGAGAACAAAACAATGACGCTTCCTGCACATGATGAAGGATTGATTGCTTCGTTGGCTGTATCGACAGTGACGGGTTTGGTTGCTTCAGCCAGTCATGACAAGATCATTAAGCTTTGGAAGTAACGACAACGCCATTGCTTCGATTCGATGCTGCAACCCCTTGTTTTTCACCCCCTTCTCCCTCCTCTTCCTGCAGTTGTATGTTCAACTAAAATTCCCTTTGCAGAGGCTGTTTTTGGTTTTTGGTGTTTAATTCGATGCTGCAGTTGTAGGTTTTTTAGTTTTTGGTGTTTAATTGTGTTAGTTGATTTCTGTGGTAAGACTACTCCTGTCAATTCTGGTGCAGTGAATGTTTATTATCATGGAAAAACTCAAATATTTGTTGCCAAAATTTGAAGTATTTCAGTTGTCAAGTGTGAAAGAATCATCACTTTAGCCTGCAGCCAGAATGCTTGCATTTTTGGAAAGTCCATGCATCATATAACTTGTATATATGTGACTTCCTTTCAAGAAAGAGAAAAAGCTAATTTTGTGCAAACAACCACACTAAAATGTCTAACTTGATAAACAAAAAGTACATTAATTGTGTACATAAATTACACTACTACTCCAAAAAATGCATTACAATGAGTGCACTTAAAAACAGGATCTCCAAGGTTAATATACAACTTTACAATAAAACAAATACATGATTCATTACAATTAATAAATTATTAAGATATAGAAATCAACACTATAATGAATAACGTATAGAACCAAATGAGCACCTAATAATCTAATATTGATTAGTCACACTAAAGGAATAAACATTTTATACTAATTTAGTTAAATTATTAAATTCATTTGTTTTAGAATCTCTTTCTCTCTCTCTCTCTCTCACACAGATATGTGTGTGTGTATATATATATATATATATATATATGTGTGTGTGTGTGTGTGTGTGTGTGTATATATATATATATATATATGTGTGTGTGTGTGTGTGTGTATATATATATATATATATATATAGAGGCGAGTTCAGGTGCGGCGGTGTCCTTAGGTGCGGCGGTGCGGCGTCACCAATAGTTCAACAAATATACACCATTAACGTTTGAAAAATACACCATAAAAATACACACAAATTAGATACGCATCACCAAAAATACACCATTAGGCGTGAGAAAAAACACCATACAGTGTTTGGAAATACACTATTGGGGTGTGATGAGTTATATGGTGTATTTTTTGGGTCTGTTGTGTATTCTGTGATTTTTTTTGCATTTCATTGTGGTGCGTTTCCTTTACACTGTTGGTGCATGTTGATAACACTGTTGGTGTATTCTGTAATCCCGCCGCACCGCCGCACGGGAAGTGTCTGCCGCACGGGAACTTTTTCCTATATATATATATATATATATATATAGTGAAAGGTTCTCGTGCGGTTGTGCGATTATTAATGTGCATGAGATTTGTACTCAATGTGTGTGAGTGTTGTATCTAATGTGCTTGAGATTTGTACTTAATGTGCGTGAATGTGTAAAATGCAGCAGAAAATATGGATATCAGCTTCTTCCCCATCTCCAGTAGCCATTGCCCCCTCCCTGAGATTTGTTTATTTATTTATTTATTAATTGATTTATTCTGCTATGGTGAAGGTGAGTATGGAGGACATAGAAAAACTAGTGGAAAGAAACAGAGAATTTGATCTACTGGTGATTGGTCTACAAGAGGTTCCTCGGATTAATGTTTCCAGATTGTTGAAGAATGCCCTTTCTGATATTCATATGTATGTAAGCTAAGCTGCTTCTACCTCAATCATTTTTCTTAATTGCTTAATTATATTGTCTTTATATTTTTAGAAAATTCTCTTATTACTCACGCACATTAAGCACAAATCTCACTCATATTAAGCACAATACTCAGGTACATTAAATACAAAACTCATGCATATTAACATGACGCACATTAAGTACAAATCTCAGGCATATTAAGCATAACACTCACGCACATTAAGTATAAACCTCACGCACATTAATCCACCGCACAACCGCACGGGAAGCAACAAATGTACCTGGTCCATTCCCTATATATATATATATATATATATATATATATATATATGGGAAGAAGAATATTAGTATTTGACTATTTGTAGTAAAGCTTATTTGGTAAGTAAATGTCAAATGGAAATTAAATAAAATCTATTAATAGGTAATATTGCATATTTGGTAATATTATGTATGGTATTATATTCTATAATATAATTGATAATATTATTTTCAGGTATAATAAAAACCCTATGTAATAATATGTAATAATAATAAAATAAAATTACAATTAAAATAATAACAAAAACAATAACAACAACAACAACAATAATAATAATAATAGTAATAATAATAATCCAAAAAAAAACTATACACACAAAATAAAATTAAAATTTAAAAAATAAGAAGAAGACAAAAATCTAAATAATAATAATATTAGGAAAAAGTGTCAAATTGGCCCTCTAAGTCGGGTGGATAGTGCAATTGGGTCCCCTAAGTGAAAAAAGCTCCATTCAGGCCCCCTAAACCTGTAAAATTGTTCAATTAAGTCCATGTTAACTTGTTTATCAGGTTAAATGCATACGGTGTTGACACGTGTCCTTATTTTATTTTTTTATAAAAATAATAATAATAATTAAAAAAAATATTTTTTATTAAAAATATTATTTATTATAAATTAATTAAAATAATAATGATAATTAAAAAATTATTTTTATTAAAAATATTATTTATTATAAATTAATTAAAATAATAATAATAATAATTAAAAAAAAAACAGCTGTGGCCGCGGCCGTCTAAGGAAGACGGCCATGGCCGACGAAAGAAGATGGCCAGTTTTTTTTAAAAAAATTATTCTTATAAATTAATTAAAATAATAATAATAATTTAAAAAAAAAAAACAGTCGCGGCCATCTATGGAAGACAGCCATGGCCGACGAAAGAAGATGGCCATGTCCGTTTTTTAGATCTACAAGACGGCCATGGCCATCTTCTTTTTCGTCGGCCATGACCGTCTTCCTTAGACGGCCACAGCTGTTTTCTAAAAAATTATTATTATTACTATTATTGTTATTTTAATTAATTTATAATAAATAATTTTTTAATAAAAAATAATTTTTTTAAATTATTATTATATTTTAATTAATTTATAATAAATAATATTTTTATAAAAAAATAAAATAAGGACACGTGTCAACATTGTATGCATTTAACCTGATAAACAAGTCAACCTGGACTTAATTGAACAATTTTACAAGTTTAGGGGACCTGAATGGAGTTTTTTTCGCTTAGGGGACCCAATTGCACTATCCACTCGACTTAAGGGGCCAATTTGACACTTTTTCCATAATATTATAACAACAACAACAACAACAACAACAACAACAACAATAATAATAATAATAATAATAATAATAATAATAATAATAATAATAATAATAATAATAATAATAATAATAATAATAATAATAATAATAATAATAATAATAATAATAATCCAAACAAAACTATATACAAAATAAAATTAAAATAAAATAAAATAAATAAAAAAAGAAGAAGAAGAAGAAGAAGACAAAGGTGGCTCCCCTTTGTAAATGATGTGGGATCATTTTGATCCCACATTGAAAATGTTTGGAAAGATAAGCTCTTGAGCTCCTCTATAAGAGGAGCATTTACAAATATTTAATTGCTTGCACATCAATGTGAGCAAGTATTGAGAACTCTAAAGGCTTTTTTTTTTAGTACCATTGACCCGACAAATTATGTTGTGGAACTGTGTCCACCTTGCAATGTAGACACGGTTGAAAAATTGTTCATAATTATGAATATATAGTTCAAAAATTATGAACAGATAGTTATGTAATTATGAATATAGAGATTCAATAATTGTGAATATGAAGTTCAAAAATTAAGATTATATATATCTTTATAATTATGAACATATAGTTCAGTAACTATGAACATAGAGTTTTGTAATTATAAATATATAGAGTTTAATAATTATGAATAATAAGTTCAAAGATAATGAATATATAGTTTTATAATAATGAACATATAGTTTAGTAATTATGAACATAAAACTGTGGTCACCTTGCAAGGTGGACACGGTTCCACCGCATAACTATTCGATTGACCTTGTTACATGTAAACTTTCTCAATCTATTGAAGCCCAACGTGTCAAAAGGCTCTTATTTAAGAAACCTTATCTTAATGGCTTCTTATTTTAGTTTTTTTTTTTTAATTTTTTTTTTAATTTATTAGGGGATTTGAGAAAGATTAACCCAAAATATAGTGTATATGAGTTGTTTTAGTTTTTAGCAGTTTGAGCAAATTGCTAAGTTATTAAATAATATTTTTTGTGTTTTGATTAAATACAAAATGTTAAACATACGAATTTCTTAAAATTTTGGTGAATTTTCCAAATAATCAAATTACAACAACAACAACAACAACAACAACAATAATAATAATAATAATAATAATAATAATAATAATAATAATAATAATAATAATAATAATAATAATAATAATAATAATTCAAACAAAACTATATATAAAATAAATTTAAATTAAAATTAAAAAAAAAATAATAAGACAAAGGGGAGCCACGGGCTCCCTTTGTAAATAATGCGGGATCATTTTGATCCCACATTGAAAATGTTTGAAATGAAAGAGCTCCTCTATATAAGAGGATCACTATATAAGAGATCGCTCATCTTACAGACATAAATACATAATTGCTTACCCATCAATGTTGGCAAGTATTGATAAGTCAAATTATACTTATTTAAGAAACATTAGCTTTGTTTTCTTATTTTAGTTTTATTTATTTATTATTGTTTATTTATTTATTATTAGTGTGGGTTGTGAAAGATTAACCCAAAATGTATGTGTTGTATTAATTTTTAGCAGTTTGGAGCAAATTACAGAGTTATTATATAATTTTATAATTTTTTTGGGTGTTTGGATTAAAGTTAAAATGCTAAAATGATGAATTTGTTAAAATTTTGGCGAATTTATCAATAATCAAATTACAAAATAATAATAATAATAATAATAATAATAATAATAATAATAATAATAATATGATATAATAATAATAAGAATAATATGATATAAAAATAAAATTAAAATTAAAATTAAATGTAAAATTAAAATTAAAAAAAAAAAAAAAAAAGAGAAAAGGGAGTCACAGGCTCCCCTTTGCAAGTGATGTTGGAT